GTCGGCAAAAGAATGCAAAAGAACAGTACCCGCCCCCACTAAAGCCCTTTACACATGTTTTCCCCCAAAGTCACCGCCGTCCATGGCGCGCGACGTCAAATGCGGCTGTGGCTCCGGGCATGCCAGGCAGCCCGGGGAAATCCTTGGGCTTTGCGCCCTCGAAGCTCGTGAAGTGCACAAACACGTCCCGCCCGTCCTGGAGGACCCCACCGGGCTAAACACCCGGACTGTCAAAGGGAACTTGGGTAAAGGCATCGCTTATGTAATATACATATATACATATATATATATAACTATATACATTATACATACTATATACATACTATACATATACAGTACACATGGGCGTGGGTCAAAAATAGGTACCCCCAATGGATCTCTGGTAAATGGACAAATGGACTAAAACCTGCGGTCCCCTGGTGGTTTAATTTTGACCCATCCCCATATTGGGTTGACGCATCGCTTTCTTGTGCTAACAAGTCATGGCGAGCCAATTTACTATGCTTCGAATTTGTGTCAAAGATGGCCAGCCAGGCTACTGTGCTTGCTTGCAAATTCATAGCGCATAGGATTCAGCCATCTGCTTGTTTGGCGGTGGGATCCGCTGAGATCCATGCTGACAGCCCGGTGACTTTTGCTTCTAACAAGATAGTGATACAGTTTTGCATGCGCGTCTGCTCGGAAATGTGAGTGAGATCGTAGATTACTAGAACATTGTGTTGGCGGTGACAGGTTGCGGCTTGCTCACCTCTGCTAGCCAAAGTGAGCTCGTCATAAAAAGCTGAACCAGTGCTTTCGGTATTTCGTGGTTGGCGCTTGGGCTGTGCCAACGTAGAGGCTTGGTGAAACAAACCGCTGGTGACAACGGGGCAGCCCCCACCATCCAAAAGGAACAATGCCCTCAATCTTCTTCAAGAGCTTTCCTAGATGCCTGCTTCGATGAGTCAAGGCAAGCAAGGACACGCATCATAAAACTCCGAAGTCCCATGGTTCTTCCAGGGTGCAGCTTTTCAATCTTGAGGCCAGAACTTCCAGTTTCGAGCTCGGCCCATTGGGAAGACAGCTCGCGTGGACTCAAGCACTCTGTTTGGTCTGACAGGTCCTCAATAATTCGCATGCAACCTGACAGTGAACAGAACGATCCAGGGCCTCAAATCGGGTGGAAAAGTACCCAGTTCTATCCCTGGCTCTTTGGGCAGTGGAAAACCGGAATGGGCAACCGGGAGCTGGGGCTCTTGCAATCGCCCCAGGGTAGTCCAACATCAACGCTCTATGGGTTACCCACCTCTTGGAGCAAACTGAATTTCAAACAGCATTGAGGATGCAAGAAGCAATCCCAATCAACGATCAAATTGGATTTGTCCGAGCACCAGGGCAAGTTCTGAACACGCTCAATCTACAGTTCCACCAACTTCGCTGACCTGAAACAAAAAAAAACCGTCCATAGCGCCACCAAGGGTTCACCATGTGCCCCGCGCTTTAGAGGAACAAATGGGCTCCCAACACGGTGGGTGCAATGTACCACAACCCCCGTGCTAGACCCTCCAGTGGTTCCAGTGGCCATGGCACACAAATAGGCCCCTTGATTGCTGCTTGGGTTTCAAGCAAAGACTGAAATGCACTCCATAAAGAAAGGACAAACCCAAAGGGGCGCCGTTGGAGCATAGGTGTCCTTTTTGGGAAAATAGATGGCCCTGGTAGTTGATTCAACCACCAGGTAAACCAGGAATCACCCTCTATTTTTCAACCAATTCAACCAAAAAGGACACCTATGCGTTGGAGGGTCTGGCCGCTTTCGGCACTTGCCGCCTCCAAGTGGACAAAGCCGAAGCGCTTGTCTAGCGGGAAGGACTTCAGGCGCCCCAGCTTCACATCGGGCGGCTCCTGGGAAAACTGCCCTCGGCTTTTGTGCGTCTGCGCCACACAAATCAACAACTCCAAGCGCCGTCCACCGAAAAGTGAACAGATAATTAGAAGGGTGGACAAAAGTACAAATGCGTAGTGGAGACAAGTAAATCCTCAAACTGATTTCAACAAGGAGAATCCAGCTTCGCTCAGGTCACGCATCTTAGCCTCCCCAAAACACCGGATTCGCAGGCGTGCCTGTGGAGGGGCCGGCGGCGCCTGGGAGGAAGTTGCCAAGGGAGACGCCTCTTTCAGATGCTTCATATTTAGCCAACCCTAACAAATACCATAGCTTTGGAGGAGACTCCATTTTTGGAATTGGCACCCTGCCAACAAGCATGAAACCCAGCAGAGGGTCCCGTAAGAGGAACATGATCGTCCAGGACCATGGAGTTGCAGGCCTTTTAATTGAATCCACAATTTTGCTGGTTCACAATCAATTTCGTGATGCTTTCCACGGAGTCTCACAAGCCGCCATAAACTGCCAACATCCAATTCCCCATGTGCCGCCCTCGGCTCAGTCTGAGCACCGCATCGACTTTGTTCATTGGTAGAGGTAGACATTCGCGATATGTCTCAAATCCACCCTCAAAACCCACAGCCCCGCTTCTTGTCGGCTCCCTATGAAGACCCCCTGTGGGAAACGTGGCTTTTGTGGCCCAAAAAACAGTGGCTCATAGTGGTTCCTCAAGGGTTTCCCTTGGTAGTTACAGGGCAACCTTCAAATCGTGGCAAAGAAGCGACCTTCCAAAAGCCGGCTAAAAAGAAATGAACCTGTCAGGCCAAGTTCAAGGGGCCCCAGTTTCGAAATGAAACAATCTGATCCATCCACCTGCTGGCTTTGGGCTTTGTCAACATATGCTACAGATTCGGACCCACAAAACGGGGGAGCCATTGCAGCCTAGTGACTGTTCATGAGTTCAAGTCCGAAAAAGCTGACACACTTGTTTACTTCCAAGACTTCGACCCCCGCCGGCACCCCAGAGACAATTGACTGCCCAAACTTCCAACCACTCGGCCTCACTCAGCGGCACCGGCGGGGGTGGGGGCGGCGGCGCAGGCGCCTGGGCGTGTGCGTGTTGCTTGTGCAGAAGCCGGCCCTAGCCACCCTATTCATATGGGTATGTGTCAAAAGCGGGACTCTCTTTGGTTTTCTTCACCGCCCGTCGGAATGTTTTCTAGCAAAATGAACCAGTCTTACACCAGCACAGTCAACATCCCCAGCATCGTAACAGCCGGGCATCATGCACCTCTTGAATTCTCGTTTTGGGCACTCGCTGTGGGCAAGCTGAATGGAGGGGTCTCGACAAATCGAAGGAGTCCCTTCAGAGAATTAAACAAATCATGGGCTGCTGCACCAGCTGCTGATTAGCTTTATTTTGTCCGCATCGCCGCAATGTATATGCTTCCAAGCCCTGCCCAAAAAAGCGGACAGGGAAGGAATGACAGTGGCAGCCGCGCTGTCGCTTTACAAAGTATGAACCACCAAGGGTGCTTTGATCCCATCCTCGGTATTAGCAATCTGTACGGGCAACTCTGATGTTCGACCTCAGCTTTGTCCAGCACCAAAACCGATGTTTCACGCTGATCCATACTTAGTGGATCAACAGTATGAGTACAGTCATTCCAAAAGAGCTCCCAGCTTTGGATGAGCTTGCCCGGACTTGATTGCTGGCCAGTCTGGGCATGGACACTCCTTGGGGTGTGGAAATTAGTGCCCGGGAGGATTCATTGACAGCAACTCGTCACATACACCATTCTCAGAAACCCACACCCCTACTCTGCCAACGCAGAATGCGAACATCCTGCCCTAGGAGCCCTGAGGCTTGGTATGAAGGACCACAGGTCCAACTGCTTTAGGGGTCTCAATCAAAGCCATGTTTGGGATGCGTGAATGTTTCAATCATGACCTCCTCAAGATCGAGCCATGACACCTCACCTGTGACTTTTGAAAAAGTAGACCCACCTTCTTACTCAACTGTACGTTCTTTGGCTTCATTCAGTATCCAACACTGATAACTGATAATCCATAGCGAGGGTCCTATTGGCTCTGATTTTAGTACATGACACATGCCCAACAAGGAACTCAAACATTGTAGCTGGTCAATGGATAATAACTGAGGCGCCACGTCATTTTCATGATGCAAATGAAGGGGAGTCCCAAGACAGGAACTGGCATGCACACTTCTGCCTTAAGGGAAAGGGGGGTGATGCTAGTAGAGTGGAATTTGGGGCTTGCGGTCCTTCTTTTCGTTACTAGGGTACCGCCCATGACTCAAATGCCAAGCATCTGGAAATTCCACGGCTAAGCTGGCAAAAGCTGCCTCCGTTCCTCTGCTTGTTGCTTCACACTTCTCAGGGTTTCTTCGGGGCGCCGAGCACGCAGTGCTCTGCGCACACCGCGCGCCGCCTAGTGCGCCCAAGATGTATGCGCCTCGTCCCCGGATCCGATCTCTTGTGGCACGTGCCAGGCAGTCACGTGCGGAGCGAAGGATTAGGCCATTTGGCATGGTCACCCGAGCCTGCGGGCGTTTCGTAACGTGGAGAAAGCTGCGATGAATAGTGACGGGCAAGGCTAATTGAGATCATGTCTACCCCGGCTTTGGCCCCGTCAAGCAAAACATAGATATAGCGATTTGGCATGATTTGGCTGGGATTGTAGGCACCTACCCATTGTTGTTCGTTATGTCCAGGTCAGTCAGACATCGGTTGCAAGTGCTGGATATCGTGTGTGTGTGTGTGTGTTGTGATGTGAGCATTTCTGTCCAGCTTTCCCATGGTTGTCCAAAGGCCCCCTCAAAAGGGCCTCCTTGTAGGGTCGCCACTCGGGAAAAGATATCAGGGTGCTGAACAGGGTCAAACGCTTGTGGCTGGGTGACTCGGTTTGAAACCCCCAGATCATGGATCTGGCAAAGCGTGTGTGTTGAAATGAATTGCTTATATCAAATGGCTGGTTTCCTTTGATAGTCAATTGGGGGCACCAGTCCGCGCTTTGCCAAATCTCGTGGCAGGGGGGGGGGGGGAGAAGGCCATTTCTCCCTCAGACAGCCGCATGGACACTTCTTTATCATTGAAATGATCTAAGTTTCGAGTCCGGGGAAGGATAGAATTTCCACACTCTGGCTTAGTCTTTGCGGCAAGGCCTTCTCCGAGCAGTCCGACAGCCACCGTACTGTGCGCTTCAGTGAGTCCCCCTGGTGTTCGCGAGGAAAAAATAGTGAGCTCCGCATGCTTCCACATCCACCGAGATGTTTCGACCAAACCCATGAGGGCTCTGGGGTTGCAGTGGAGGCTCGGAGCTGCAAATCGTGCACAACAAAATGCACGCGACCGTGTTGGTCAGGCTCTGTATCATTTCGGGTATTTTCATGCAAAGCATCTAGGCGAGGATTGGTGGCTTGCATCCGCGAGGCGTCAGGCAGGCGGAGCATCCACATGAGGACCCCAAACAGAAGATCCTCTGTCAGCACATACGTGCAGGTAAGATTCCCCAGCACATGCGTGCGGGGCGCCCGCAATGGAAGTCCCGAGTCGGGTCGTGGCTTCAATATGAAAATCCATCTTCTTGTTAGCTACTTAGTTCCCAAAACCCATTTTTGCCGCATCTGTTCTGGCACATATGCCCTCTTCGGGCTCACGGATGCGACGAATGAATGGAATTCCTCTACAATAAATTCCTTAAAGCCGACTTCCGCTCACGGTCCGAGCCGTTGCTGTGGGGAATTCGGAATGACTCTTTCTGCAATGACGAAGGATTTGCCACTGTAACCTCTAGGAAAAATCCCGTAACAAATGGCGACCACAAAGTCGATCCACAATCATAGCCATCGACGACTCGACTCGACTCGGCAAATGGGCGAGTCGTTTTTGCGGGTGCCCCTTCTTGGGGTGAACGTTGAAAGGATAACCACAAGCATGCCAGCCATGTGGGGCCCCAAAACCATTTTGAGACATATCATCTACTTGGACTTCCTCTGCATCAAGCCCAGATCCAGGAGGAGCAGCAGCCCATGCCTTTCATTCGCACCGCTCGCGGATTCTCCCACGAGAGGGGGTCTATATAGAATCCCCCCCATTACGGCAGGGGCCATATTCAAAAATACACGAAGCTGAGGTTCACATCTTTCAAAGGGCAGGCATCAGTTGCGACTAGTCTGGCGAAACAGAAACCAGAAATGCCACTGAACCATGGTTGCAAATGGACATGGGACAGGGAAGGGTGAACATAGAACCAATAGAACCTGCCAAATGGGCTGACAACCCAAGCACCTGGGAAACCACCATGTATCCCAAAAAGGATGGAGGCTTGTGTTTTTCAATTGTGGGCCAGGATCGGACTTGAAGAGTAAGCCTCTGATACAAGTTTGGGCAAAGCATGTTTTATCATAAATATGGGGACATGGATTCCTGAAATTACCTGGGCGTCAAGCTGTCTTTGGGGGCTTGCGTGGGGAGAATTACTGCAATCACTATGGAGGGCTCTCGAAATGAAGGAATGCCAGGGGGCCTTTCGCTTTCCTGCAAACGCCTGTGTGCAAGCATACATGATGCCCCGTAGATCTGGAAACGCTGTTGGTTTCTACGGAGCCATCAGCTGGGCACAGGTGAACGTGCTTATTGAGTGCCGTAAAGGGTTTCACCTGAAGCCTTCTCTGGGGGTGCTCTTCCAATGCACCCCACCCGAGTTGCTGGTTTCACGACCGAGGCAGGAAAATAACATGAGGCTCAAACCAACTAAAGAACTGGCGACCCATCATCCACCCTTTTCCCTGGTTCCTATCCTGATAGAACATCCATATAGATCAACAGGTGACCGATGGAATGATCAAGCGTCTGTCTGATTGGGAGAGCCGAAGCAAGCAACTGGCCATAGGACTTGACCCTTTTGAGGAGAACAAACCAGAACACGGTAAGACACTTGTGAATGTAGAGGTTTGGCTGGTCAAGGGGAACACCTCAATTCGGACAAGCAAGTTCTTGTTTCCGGTCGCTCCCGAAAACTGAGCTAGGTGTCACCTTAATCGTGTAGAAATGCGTTTGCGCCCCCGACCTCTTCCGAAATAGTTCTTAATAATGGGGGGAATGGGGGTCAAATGAACCACCAAGGGCGAATAGTAGAAGCAAGAGTCGACAGATCCTATGGCTTCTATATGACCATTTGAGGACTGCCGACATGGAGGAGCAATCCTTTAGGATTATGGAGCTTTCGAATTTGAAGTGCAGCTCCTCATCATTCTGTGCTGAAGAGGAGAGGCTAGAGCGTTTTATCACAAAGTGGGACCATATTCTGGCCGGGCTGCACGAAAACAGGTTAAGACATATTTGTTCAGTGAAAAGATTAGACACCTTAATTGTTTAACTTATGATGCACCGGAATGGGTGGCGTGCCAGGAACTGCAGGAAGCCGCTGGCTGGTGTGGCGGAGGTAGGTCAGATGGCGGCGGCCATTGCGGCCACCGAGAAGCTCACCATTATACCAGTTATACCAGTTTGGAACTGATGAAAGGTTCCATGTTCAAGGGCTGGGACAGCTGGCGTACTTCGCTGGTGCCCAAAAACCATCCGATCATCCCGAGCTTGATAAAACTAGACCCGG